CTTCCCCTGTCGATCACTAACATTAAGGCAAATATTCTTTAAAGTTTTCCTGAAACATTATGTTTAAATATGCAAATGAGGCATTATCTAACGGTAACTTTAGGTAAATCTACAGATTCAAAGAGACAAAGTAGTAAAATAAAACATTAAATGTGTATTTGGATGTTTGCTTTTCGCTAGTTTGAAAACAAGACGATGTTATGGAAGTAAAATAGCCCCAAACTCGTTTTCTGGTTATTGCTTTAAATATTTAGCGATTTGTTGTCCTCATTTTATATTATTTAAAATTGAATTATTGGTAAAAACGTAGAAGCAGTTTAGTTTCTAGGTTTTTTTGTAAAGCACTCTGCAGCATTTCATCCGTTTTATCTCTGTGCAGAAGCTCATTCTGCTGCAGTCGCTTTCACTTTTACCTTTTCGACCACCGTCCTGTCTAAAAGAATCCTGACAAATTGAAACGTCTCCCTTCATGTCTCCCTCTCCTCCTCGTGGGGGGGGGGCGGGCATGTAGGAGAGGATCGGGATTGTTGCTGACATCAAGCACTGCGAGTCCGGATAACGTGGGCTCCTTTTTGAAGTGTGGATCCATTCATCCTCCACAACACACACACACACACACACACACACACACAGTCTTTGTTTTTTGTAAAGGAGGCGGTGGAGGGCTGGAGGGAGAGGACAGGAGGAGTGGAGCAGTCAGCAGACTTCTTTTAATTTAGCCAGCATGACTTTTTTTTATTCCTCCTTTTCTGTCTCCTCAGATCTTAAGTGAAGCGGGATTAGAAGGAGATCAGTCTCCCTCCTCCTCCTTTTTGTCTCAACCTTTCTCCTCCTCTTTTCTGTTTTTATCTTCTTCCTCTCCACGTCTTACGTCTCGTCCTTTTGTGTCTCCTCCTCTCTCAGCTGCTCTGCTCGTTGCTCCATGTCTTCCCTCCTGCTGGTTTTCTCCATCAGTCTCTTTGTCTCATTCTTCTCTCTTCATCTTTGTTTTTCTACTTCTTCCTCATTCTTTCTCCCCCATTCTCTGCTGTTGTCGCTGCATCTCTTTGGCCTTTTCTTCTGCAGTTTTTCTCCATTCTTCTTCCTGTCTCTTAAAGGACACAGCTGGCGATATTTGTATTTTTCTTGTCGACATGTCCCATGAAAAGAGCACAACCGTGTCGTCTTGTTAGCCTGACGATGGGATTTAGACGTCACGTCACAAAAGTCACCTTCAGCAGAAGTTTAAAGTTTAAACGACGAATTGATCTGCTAACAAGTATCGTGTGTATCCAAAGCATCTTCTTTGAAACTTTTTGTTGATATCATTTTAGTATTTTAAGCTCCTCAATTTAATTCTGCTAAATTAGGATAAACAGTGTTTGAAAGTAGACAAATAAGAAGTGTTTTTATCTACAGGTTGTGAACATTACTCGACCGCTAAGTGCTGTGGTTTAGTCTAAATTTCAGGTTTTAGTTATAATTATTACATTATTATTATTATTATTATTATTATTATTAGTTATTTGCAAATGTTAGAAGCTACACTCAAGCTTCTATTTAGGTTTGTGAATGAAGTTAAGAACGTCTGTTCTTAATGCAGCCTTCCTTTGTGTGGGAGAGCAAAGAGTTCATTGAAAGGCTCGACTCCAACAAAGATGGATTGAAGCAGGAAATTTGAGTTTCAGATTTTGGTCTTTTAATATAATTTGAGTTTTTGACTGACACACGCACAGGCATGTGTGTCTCATGGTGCTGTACGAGTTTTGTATTTGCCGCAGACAGACTAATTTCTTTAACAGTCTAACTGTAAATACTCACTAGAGCATCAAATGTGTATTAATCCGCCGCTGAAAATAGTTCCCATCGAATGTTTCCTCCTGTTTAAGCGACGTTTGCTTAGAAACCGCACTGACTGCAGCTGTTTTAGCAGACTTTATTTCAAATGAAGCTACATATTTATAATAAGTTTCGGGTTGAGTGCCACAGACAGGAAGTCAGATCTTACTGAGAGATGCATTCTTGAGTTTGGTCTTTTTCCTGAGATTTATTGACACCAAGAAACATAAAGAACACCACCAGCCTTCTCCTTTGATCTCTCCATATCTCTCACTTTCTATGTTTAGCTCAATCTCTCCCCCTCTCGCTCTTTTAAATCTCTTGTTCTCTCCCTCCCTCGCCGCCTTCAAAAGGCCGTCTCCTTCACCTGTTAGCGTTCCTTGCTGCAGGGCACATTTTCTCTGTTTCTTTGTATTTTCTTCTTTGGTATTGGAGAGGCCTCTGCGGTGAAGCATCTTATTCTCCTGACCACATCAGACAGGCCAGGCGCCGCCTGGGACACAGCGAGGTGTGGGAGACGGGGGAGGAGGGGAGGGTTTACCTGGGGTGAGGTTACCTGTCTGTGAGGACCAGGAGAGAACGTAGAACATAGAGGATGGATCAAGCTGGCCTTCCTCGGTTTGTCTTCAGGCCAAAAATACATTCAACTTGGCGTCTTCTCAGACCACTGCTGAACTCTCCAGTGTCAGCGAGCACGAGTGTTCTCGCTGTGACGCCACATGGAGGAGCTTCCAAGTCGTGACGAGTGAAGACGCCACTCGGACAAGTACCAGTACGAAGTCACCGGGACGCCCAAACAAACCCGTCGTCTTAGATGTCATTCAACACTCTGTGAAGGGTTTTAATATCTTAAAGGTCTCATGGCAGTTTGTCTTCATTATCGATTAATGTGACGAGTATTTTCTTAATCGGTCGATTGTTTAGTCCATAAAGGTGAAAAAACACCCGCTATGATTTCCCAATTCCTACCATCTCATACCAGCTTTTGCCTTCATCTCTTGTATGAAGCATTTTCTTGCCTCAGAGTGCTCTCTGTTGTAGAATGGATCCTTCTCTCCTCTTGCCTCAGTATGAGGTTAGAGATGCGTTCCAGATGGATTTACTGACATGAAAAAAAGATGTTTGGGGAATCTTGTTTCTCTTTCTGTATTGATATGCAGACAGAGCTGGATCTCTGAGTTACTGAGCTGCTGCCAGACGACCTCGGGCTTCTTCTGTCCACAGCGAAAGGAAACTAGTTTCTCCCCTCACGGTCATCAGGGATCTGCTTCCTGGTTTCCTTCAGGATTCAGAAGTTTTTGCGAACGTGCTGCAAGTCTTTGCCACTTTATTTTGGGGCCCTTAACGAGATGATGTAATCCGCTTCTTTTTATCGTCCTTCAACTGCTTCCAGTGATGAAGGCTGCAGATATTTAGTTTTCTGTTTAATAAGGAGACGTCCCGCTTAATGCAGCATTCACCTGTCAGATCTGCAGCCAGTTCATTTTCAGTCCCATGTTGTACACGGCTGAAGAGTCCGGCTACAGACCTTCAGATGGAATTTCTCTTCACCTTTTGTCAGGTTTTTCATTGTGGTATTTTGTTCATCTGCCAGGACATTGAACCAATAGAAAAGGACAAGTTCAGCCATTCTATCGAAACTGTGATGACTAAACCACGAAACGCTCTACTCGTAACCAGCGGTGAACGTAGGCCGGTACGGTCCAGGTGTCCGTACCACTAAAAGATGTAGTGTCATGAACACACCGAAGTCAGATGAACGACTTCCTGACTCGGGAGCGCTTGAATGCACCGTTGTCTTCACACTCTGGGCAGAGACCTTTTGTCTCGTGACGTCCCCGGCTGTCTCCTCTCTACAGGGCCAGTAAAAGGACTAAAATGCAGAAAAATGAAATAACTTTTTCCAATCTTATATTTCAACCTTGCCTTACCTACACCCAATATATAATTTGGATCCTGAGGTCTGCAGATTCGTCTTTTACGCTCACCAAGAACAATTTCTATGGGTTTGATGAAATTAGCGAGTGTAGATATATCAAAGCCAGACTGAATAATAACTCCCTCCCTTGGACCGATGTTATCAGCTCTTAGTCTCGCTGTCGCTGCCTCCCGGAGCTGCCAATCTCTCCCAGGGCTTGTCTCCATCTTATCTTCTCCCCCCCCCCCCCACTTCACGGAGAGGAAGCTCTTAGAGGGCTGGGCCCGACAGATAGCGACTGACCTGTCTCTTCCCTCTGGAGCGGTTTTCCATTTTTAAACCGCTAACTGAACTCAACTGGCTGACTGGATTACCTCCACGGCTGTGTCCCGCCTCCCTGTCTGTGCACCTGTCTCTCCGGTATCACGTCTTTGAAGATGCCGCCCTGTTCGGGGGGGGGGTTTGAACTCGAGGGAGGAGGGTCCCCTGTGAACGTGCCAAAGGCAGAAAAGCTGACAGAAGTTAAACGACTGCCGTTTGCCACCTCGTGAAAACATCTCTCTCCATCTTTGCTCATTGTGATTGACCGTCTGATGTCTGCAGGCAGCCGGAGACGAGTTTCACTTTGTTCCTAAAAACATCTAATCAAGGTGGAGGATCTTTGGAGTGAAAGCTGTTGAATTTCCTCGTGATGGTTTTCTTCCACTCTCAAAGCCGCCACTCACTCCCTCCTTTTTGTTTCCTTTTTATCAAAGTCAATCACATTTTCTTTGAACTTTTTTCTTCCAAAACGTTTCTTCCCCTGGGGGAATTCAAATGCCTCTTTCTTGTCTTTTATCAACACATTAAAAATGTCTGTGTCACTCTTGCAATCAGCTCCATCACGTCAAGAGACGCAGGTGAAGAACGGGAGTCGGGGCGCCGCAGTGTGTGTGGAAAATGCAAATTGCCGTTTCAGCATCTCCTGAAAATATAAAGGCGCTGCTGCAATCTAGGAAGCGTATCATAATTGAAAAGGAAGCGTGTTTCAGGTAGATCGGCTTTAACGCGAGTTAAGCCTATTAACGTCTTATCAGAAGTCGCAGTGCGTTTATTAACCCTGGATGGAAGATGCTCCACGAGGAAGAAGATGCAGCAGGATGGGTTTTTTTTTTTTCTTCCACCAGCTGCCGTTTCCTGTTTTGTTCCCTCTGGGACGTTGAAGCTACTGCGAAAATGTGCGCGAGAGCAAATGTTCTAAATGTGATTGTTGTGTCGGTGACAGATGGTGATGCTGACGGCGGGGAACTGGACCTGAGCGGGATAGACGACAGTGAGATAGAGCTGGTGTGTACCTCAGGTTTAACGTGCACACGCTCCTCAGCTCTTCTGCTTCCTGTTGAGCTAAACTGTGTTTCCTGAAGATGCTTTATTAGACTTAAAAATAAATCACATCTGTTCCTGTTTTAAACTCTTGTGATTCATTTATAATGTTGTTTTCCGTTTGTTATCGGGATGTTTTTGAACATTAAAACTGATTTTTGGGAAGTTAAAGTTTGATCATGAGGCAAGGATTAAAATAAGTGATTTTTTTTTTTAAACATTTGTGCTCTTTGCTTTTAGAATCTTTTTATCGAGCACAAATAAAAGCAAACATAAAAATCTAATATGAAATCTAATCGACTATGACAGAAAACTAACAATACAATTGGATGCATGTGTATTTTCATGTATTTTGACGTAGATTAAAGGATATATGACCACATCATGACGTTGTATTGGATTGCATTATGGCACATGTACATACAGACGTCTTAGATTAAGAGACAAAGTATTTGTCCAGTCATGTGATTGTTCTCTCTGCCTCGCTGCAGTATCTGCTGAGTGACCATGAAATCCAGGTGAAGACGGCGCTGTGGATGGCAGAAAACTCAGACTACCTCAAAGAGCAGAAAGGTACTTTTATTTGCCTGAGTTGTCCCCAAATGCTCCTTCGTCTCTCAGTATTTGATCAGCCAAACGGAGTTAAAACCTTTCATCTGAACCTACTGGAGTCCTGTGTTGATGTCCCACCGTGTCGTGTTGATGTCTCGGGGTTTTTAATGCTCAGACTGTTTCTTGTTTCTGCTTTCAGAGAAGGAAGCAAAGATAGCGAAGGAGAAGGAGCTCGGGATCTACAAAGAGAAGAAGGTAACGGCGTTCAGCTTTCACAACTTTAAGACTCAAACTGTTCAAATGGTCTTTGAGCATCTGTTCGTCAGAGAGAAGTCTTGCATGTAGGATGTTGATCAGTCGGTTTGTTAGCAGAGAAAGAAACAGTCGGATGAGATGCAACACAAAGGTATCCAACCTCCAAAATCTGCACCCTGTCATAAAACCAGTATTATCACCTGAACACGTTGTTTCTTACTCTACTCATTTTATTTCTGGATCTAAACCGGTGAATCTCAACATTTGTGGCTCACGACTGATGAGTGCATCTCCAAAAGGTCGACTTTTCAGCCCAAAAACCTGGTTTGTGTTTGAGCTTTTAAATTATTTAGTTCTCTTAAGTATGAGGAGAGTTTCCTCATGAACACTCAGCGCTTCAGTTGATCAAAAATCACCAAATTTGGAGCGACTCCACGAGACTGACGGTAATAAAGGTAATTGCCGAACTCCAACCGGGACCTTTCACGATGACTCTGTCAGCATCCTGCATCTTTGGCTACAAGAACCACATGTTTTCATATTTATTTGACACATTTGATTTTAATCTCTGAGTTGCACATTGTGCTGCCGGCAGCCAACCTATAGTTAATCTACAGGGCCGTACGGATTAAGATTCAGCCGACTCGGCACTATGGATCAGCCGGCCTTTAATCTACTCAAAGAATGCCTCCAGGGGTCCTGACTAAAGATTAATTTCATTATCGATTACTCTGTCGATTGCTTTTCTACACAACGTCAGAAAACTGTAAAACATGCCCGTCACAATTCCCCAGAACTCAAGACGATGTCTTCATATTGTTTTGTCCAAAACCAAAAGATATTCAAATTGTAATATATAAAACTGAGGAAAGCTGCAACCAGACAAGCTTTGATTTATTTCCTTTGACATATGATTCATAGATGATCATGATTAGCTGACGATTCGCTTCATTGACGCTAAAAGTCTAAAAGAAAATTTGCAGTCGTCAGAGATTCTCAGACGTCCGTCAGGTGGGCAGACAGACGCGTATTTAGTCATAAGGAGACTGTGAGACAGATGCAGAGAGAGACAGACGGATAATGAGATGGACAGGACACAGCGAGTCCTGTCACACTGGTTTCCTCTCATATCCCATGACTGGTTTTGGCACCGGTCCTTTGTTAGACCCAACATCTGTTCACTGGTTTTAACTGGCTGGATTAACTGCAGATGTAATGAGACATGCAGCCTCCTGACAGCCCCGATCCAATGCTGTGCTTTCACCGACACACGACTGAATAAATGAATAAAATGAAGGAGGTTCTTGTTTCGTGTCTGACTCTTAACATCCCGAGTTGATTAGCTGCTGTTATAAAGGGATCAATTTACTGTCGGCGCAGGATTTACAGTTAAATTGCCTGAAATTTAAGAAAGTTGTGAGATTTAAAACCACGTCGTTTGTTGCATGAAATGTGTTTTCAAAAGTTAGTTTTCAGTAAAGAGAAACTGGTCTGATCTGAAGCGGTAGTTTGTGTGGCGGTCACGGTGAATGTGGAATAACTGAATGAGGTGATGACCCCAATCTGAGGTCCTAATTGAGATAAATGGCTGATTACAGAAATGTGTCCAGCTGTACGTTTGCTTGCAGATGATGTTCCTCTGGAAAAAAATCTCTCCCATCTGCGACCTAATTGGTCTAATAAGAAGACAAAATATGTGCAGATAGCCTTCGACCCTCGTCTGCTGTGGAATTGGAGTAAATTGAGTGAAGACCGACTACAAGCTCCTGATTTGTTTTAGAAATGTGTCTCAGCCAGCGTACCTGCTGAACACCAGCGTGTGGGCGTGTTAGCACGCTGACGTTAGCGTTACGTACAGCCTGGCATCCACAGATGTTTTCTCGTTAGTCACAATGGTGGAAATGAACTTTCGCACTTAAAAAAAAAAAGATGTTGCAGATTAGATTTTTTTTTTTAAAGAATAGAGTTGAGTGAATATTCTGTTTAGATATGTGAATTATTGATCATTTAATTCATGAAGATGATTTCATACAAACAGTTGCCCGTAAAGCAATACATCTATTTCTTATTGTTCAAGATCAGAAGAAGGTTGCCAACATGTCGACTCATGGAATAACGTTCAAGCCTTCTCTCAACAACCCATTTACACCCCCCC